AGTCCCCCAAACGGACCCACAGACCGAAGAGGGGCACACACGAGCGGCAAGGGAGACTTCAGAACTCTAAGATGGCTGCCACAATTTCCTCGCCCTCCTCTTCCCCCTTCTCGACATCGTCTTCGTCCGCGTCCTCCTCGTCCTCCTCGTCCTCCTCCTCCTCCTCGTCGCCCTCCCCCATCGTCATCTTTTTCGACATTGTCCTCCCCGTCCTCGTCTTCGTCCTTCTCCTCGTCATCGTCCTCGTGCCCTTCCTCCTCCTCCTCCTCCTCCTCCTCCACCTCCTCCTCCTTGTCCCAATCCATATTCTCAGAAAATGGCTCCCTGGGTCCTCGTCCCCGTTGCCCTCCTCCCTTTCTCCGTTCGAGCGCATTCCGCCAGCGGTTGCCGCCGCCGCGGGCGCTCCCCGGCAGACGGGGGAATGGGTCCGAGACTCCGTGCATGGTTTGGGAGCTGGCACCAGCGACCTGCATGCCGCACGGGCTGCGGTGTCGGAGCCGGCCGTGTTCGGAGTCCGGGGTGGGGGTCCTCCGCCCAGTCTGCCGGCGACCCAGCGAGCCCTGCAGACTGCCGCAGGCAGGACATCGCTGGACGCCCGCTGGGAGGTGTCTTGCCATGCTTCTCCCGCCGCCCGCAGCTCCTGCTGCCACTCCCCGCCTTCTCACGCGTGCCTGGCTGGAGGAGAAGCTAGAGGGGAAGAGGACGAGAGGGAGGCGGAGAGTGGCTCAACGAGCGGTCAGGATGCTGACTGGGGGCGGGCCAGCGCGCTGTGCCCAATCCCCTTGTGGATTTCTGGACAAACTCGACGGCGACGAGCAGCTCAGAGAGGAGATCGAGAACCGTACTCGTCCTCCTCGTCCTCGTCCTCGCCCTCATCGTCTTCCTCTTTCTTTTTCCTCCGCTTCCTCGTCGTCGTGACGGTCCTGATCGTCGTCGTCGTCGTCGTCGTCTTCTTCCTTCTCTTCCTCCTCCTTGCCCGAAGAGGCTCTCTGAGGCCCCCCCTTGCTCCCAGAGATCTCACCCTGGTTGCCCGCGCTGTTTCACTATATGTGCCTCTTGTTCCTTTCCCGTCTGCTCTCACGGGCATGGCTTCTGAATGGGCTGCTGGGGATACGCGAAGCGTGAAGAATATGGCTCCAAGAGGCTGCCAAGAGCTTCGAAGAGCGAAAGATCCGCTGCCCCCCTCGTCCTCGTTCATGTCGTTGTCGCTTCCTTCCTCCTCCTCCTCCTCCTCCATCCTCCTGCTGCTGCTGTTCCTCCTTCTCCTCCTCCTTCTCCTCCTCCTCCCACTTCCCTCTTCGTCCTCCTCGCTCCTCCCCTTCCTCCTTCTCCACTTGTTCCTGCCGCCTTCTTCGACGGCAAGCTCAGCAATTCCACAGCTGGGTCGAGCCTGGACTTGACAGCCGACTCACTTGCTTCTTCCACTGGATGCTTCTACACATCACTGATCAAGGCAACTCCCCTGGCAACGTTTCTGTATAGGCTGGTGGAGATATTTTTTTTGTTTGCGGCCCGCAAGGAGAAGTCCAGAGGGCGGTACGACCGAGGCTGGGGCACAGCGACAGATAATTGGCGCGAGAACGCGCGAAGTGCACCAGCAAACAAATTAGGAAGAGGGGCGGCCACAATTGGGCAACCATCGAGCGCAGGCCAACCCGCAGGTGGGGCCGGACCGAAACCCTGCCGGAGGCACGCAGACCTAAGCAACAGCCGCTGGGCGGATGCCAGCAGAAGAGGGCGGCCACGGATGGGCAGACGGAAACCAGGGTGGACCCGCAGGTGGAGTACCGACCGGCAACCGGGGAGGAGGGGGCCGGGGGGCGCAAGCGGAGAAAAAGAGCGCAACCGGGGAGGAAGCGTGGCGGACTCACTCACGTGGCACCCAGTGCGTGCTGGTGGAGATACGCGAACCGTCAATAATCATCATCACTGTCCACCTCATCGTCCTCCTTCTTTTCCGGCTCCTGATCGTCCTCATCGTCATCCTGATCTTCATCGTCCTCATCCTAATTCTTCTCCTGTTTATCATTATCGTCGTCGTAGTCCTCCCGAGCTTCTTCCTCGTCCTCGAGATGGTCCTCATCGTCATCATCCTGTTGCTCATAATTGCTCCTTTCATGATGCTCCTCATCCAATTCCTCCGCGGGGCTCTGTGGGATCGGCAGCAGGAGGCGGCAACCTTTAGATAAGATGAAAGGAAGTGGGGAAGAGGACAGGGAGACGAACCGTCAGGAGAACGAGACACACGCATCCCTATTCAAGGGATGCCTCGCCTTTGGACGCCCGAAATGGGTACGGAAAACATGGGCACAATGCCCAACAACAAATGTTGTCCCAAACCGACAGCGGCCGCTGTTGGGCAGGCGGCCTTCTGTCTCAAATGGGCACAGGCCGCGGCTGCGCGGACAGCGAGTCCTGTTCAAAATGAGCATGAACTGCTGTTCGGGCATCGTACCCATTCCTTCTGTGCCCATGTCGTGCGTGCAGATCACCCACCGCCCCCCCAAAATATGTACCTCTTCTGCGGCTGCCTGCCCCGAGAAGCTCTCGACCCCCCCCTCCCCCGGACGGCTTCTTGTCCACCCCGTGGCGCTCCTGCTGCGCTCCGTGGGGGGCCCTGGAGACGGCCTGCCTGCGGATCCCGAGCACGGTGAGCGACACCGAGGCGGCTCGGAGGCCTCCGCGAGGGGGGTCGCAGACCGCGGCCCGAGGCGCGTGCGCGGACCAGGGGAGGCTGGCCAGGGGACGCCCTGAAGCCAGCAGAGGGGCCATGACATCTTGGGAGATCTCATGGCTCCAGCCATGATGTCCGCCCCATGGACATCACCCCCCCTTCGTGGATTGAGCAGGGGCCGACCGTCCCGGCATTCCTCCAGGCCTACCCGAAATCTTCTCAGAACCCCATTATGATAACAAAAGCAACGTTCTGAGAACATGAGCCCGATGTGTTAAACCAAGACGGTCTCAGCCAGCAATGCTCTAAGAACATTTCGCGCAGACCACAGAAAAGGTTCTTAGAACATTCCTTGGTGGGCCCATAGGCCAGCCAGGACGCTTCGCCACTGCTCGAGTGGACGCCCCCGCGCGGTGCTTTTCGGCCCGCGCCAATGCGATAGAGGAACAACAAACCACACAAACATAGACTTTTGGAGGTCCGCGCGGATTTCTTGGATCCGCGCTGGACCCCCCTCCCAGGCGCGCGGAGCGCGCCAGGGGCGGCGCCGGAGGCGCCGCCGGGGGGCTCAGGCGCGGACCCAAGAACTCCGCGCGGAGCGCCAACAGTTGATGTCTATAGCGATTTCTTCTTCTTCTTCTTCGAGTGGACGCCCCCGCGCGGTGCTTTTCGGCCCGCGCCGCTGCGAGGGTCCGGCCGCGCCCGCGCGGAGGCCCCGCGCGACGGCCCAGGGGTTTCTGGGACACGCCGCTGGGCGCTGGCGCTGCCTCCTCCTCCTCCTCCTCCTCCTCCTGCTCCTGCTCCTGCTCCTGCTCCTCCTCCTCCTCCTCCTCCTCCTCCTCCTCCTCCTCCTCCTCCTCTCCTCCACAATTACTCAAGATGAATACTACTCTCCTCCTTCCCCTGATGACGGGTTGGGAGTGTTCGCCCCCCCCCCCGCGTACTGTTTTTTTTACACCCAGGATTCCCCGGAGTTGGGTTTTCGCCTGCATTTTTTTCAAAATGCTGCTCTCGCTGAGGCGCCGGCCTCATTTTCGGGCCCCGCTCGTTCCGAATCGTGCTCCCGCTGCAGCGCTGGCCTCATTTCCGTGCTTCCGCTCGTTCCGAATCGTGCTCCCGCTGCAGCGCTGGCCTCATTTCCGCGCTTCCGCTCGTTCCGAATCGTGCTCCCGCTGCAGCGCTGGCGTCATTTCCCGTGCCATGCCACGGCATGCAATGCAATGCTAGGTTGCGTTCCGCTGCGCGATGTCATGCCTTCAGCTGAAGCTGTGATATGCAGTGCTTAAGTGCCACGTCGTGCTATGCCATGCTACGCTTTGATCTTCAACGCCATGCTATGCAATGTTATGTTCGGGGCCGCTGTGCGATGCCATGCTTTGCGTTGCAAAGCTTTGTGATGCAATTCTTCACTACGCCACGCCACGCCATGCTGTGACATACTACGCTTTGCGGTGCTCTTCTACGCCATGCCATGCCGTGCTCTACAATGCATCGCGTACCCTTTCGGGATCATTGCCCTGCTCGACATCCGACTGTGCGAGTAGAGAGGGGATCTACGCCATGGTAAGGGATGGGAGGGAGGGGTAGGATGTCAGATATGACGCGAGCGCACCTAGCTTGTCCTCCTCCCCTCCCCTTCCCCTCCTCCTCCTCCTCCTCCTCCTCCTCCTCCTCCTCCTCCTCCTCCTCCTCCCCTCCGCTCCGCTCCGCTCCCCTCCCCTTCTCCTCCCCTCCCTTCTCCTCCCCTCCCCTCCCCTCCCCTCCCCTCCCTCGCAGGGGGAATCGGCCCGCCTGCCCCAAAAGGGCCCCCCGCATCCAGAGCACATGGGCATCTCCGGGAAGAGGGGGGCGGGGAGGCCTCCTTGGCTTCCCTTCGGCTTTCCCGCTGGCGGGCTGCTCTCGTCGCCGTCGTCGTCGTCGTCGCCGTCGTCGTCGTCGTCGTCGTCGTCGTCGTCGCGGTCGTCGTCTTCGTCGTCGTCGTCGTCGTCGTCGTCGTCGTCGTCGTCGTCGTCGTCGTCGTCGTCGTCATCGTCCTCGCCGTCGTCGACCTCCGCCACCGTCAGCCGAGGGCTAGGAATGTCAGCGCCTCGGACTAGAGGCCTCCAAGAATGGGTCCGAGTAGATGGGGTCGGAGGATCGCGCCGCATCGCCAATGCATCACCGATACGTCGACGATGCATCGGCGACGTCGGCGATGCGTCGGCGACGCCGGCGTGGAGAAAATCGGGCTCCACACCGAGCCGCATCGCCGATGCATCAGCGCGGCGCGATCCTCCGACCCCATCTAGTCAGACCCCATCTACGGAGGAGGATGAGGAGCAGGAGGAGGAGGAGGAGGAGGAGGAGGAGCAGGATGAGGAGAAGGAGGAGCATGAGGAGCAGGCGGAGGAGGAGGAGGAGGACGAGGAGGAGGAGGAGGAGCACTAGATCGGACCCCAACGACAACGAGAGGCCATCTCTGGAGCGCCCGGGCCGATGCACTCGCACCGCTGCGCCCGGGATCGGGCTGCATGCCCTCGCGGCTCGGACCCAGAGGGTGTGCACGCGAGCCATTGGTCGGCAGTGGCTCGCCGAGAGATCGGCTGTACGCATCGGTCGGCAGAAGTAGGTAAAAACATGAAGTAGGAAGGCGGATCAAGTAGATTGGGTTCAGGCCCTCCCAGATAGTAACAACACACATCAACAGCATACCAATTCTTGAAGTAGGAAAGTGCTTGAAGTCGACTGGGATCTGGGGATCCAGAGACAGTTACCTACCTTCAACGACCAGCGTGCAATCCACCGTTAGCGATCGATGAGCCTACTACCCTGGGGCGCTCCAAGACCGTGAGGCGACAGGCCGAGCAGTGGCCTCGAAGCCCCGAGACTTCCCACCGCGCGGCGCGCCGCCGCACGATCTTGTGACCCTGGAGGCCGGTCGCCCGCGGTATCTTCGGATACAGTCGAGACGCTGTCATAAGGAACCCTAAATGAAGAACGAGGCCCATTTTTCCCATCAATTGAGGCCCGATTTCCCATCGAAAACCCAAGGAAAACCTAAGGCAAGCTGTGAAACATTCAAGGAACACGGAGCCCCTCCCCAACGAAGAGGGTTCCTTCTTCTGCGCCCCGACTGTAATGACCCAAGTCTTAGGTCGGGCCTGTCCCCCTACCGGGGGATTCCGCACGAACAGAACCAACCATACCCGACAAATGCTCAAAAGATGCCCCAAAATAGCAAATTATCCCAGTGCGACCCTACCTAGGAGTTGGAACCCCTAGGAAAGCAGCATTAGTAGTAACAGTAACGCTAAACTAAAGCTAAGCTAAAGCTAAGCTAAAGCTGAGCTAAAGCTAACCCATAGCTAAGCTAAAGCTAAGCTAAAGCTAAGCTAAAGCTGAGTAACAGCTAAGCTAAAGCTAAGCTACAGCTAAGCTACAGCTAAGCTAAAGCTAAGCTAAAGCTAAGCTAAAGCTAAGCTAAAGCTAAGCTAAAGTTAAGCTAAAGCTAAGCTAAAGTTAAGCTACATCTAAGTTAAAGCTAAGCTAAAGCTAAGCTAAAGCTAAGCTAACGCTAAGCTAAACGCTAAGCGAAAAGCTAAGCGAAACGCTAAGCGAAACGCTAAGCTAAAGCTAAGCTACAACTAAGCTAGAGCTAAGCTAAAACTAAGCTAAAGCTAAAGCTAAAGCTAACGCTAAAGCTCCCAGGGGACTGGGGGGAACCGCGGGGCGGGGACTGGGGGAACCGCCCGGGGCGCTTTGCACTGCCCGGCCCCTTTAAGCTAAGAGAGTAAGAACCCTCTAGGCAGAGCCTAGGTAGGGAAAAATTTGTCCCCATACTATTTTTGGGGCTACTTTTGAATATGCCCCCTGTAGAGTGACAGGCCCGACTTGATCCGAGCCCCACAACCATGCGGCGACCCCCGAGCCCCACTCACTCGCCGCACGGAGTGACCACGCCTCGGCGGCCAGCCTGGGGGGAGGAGGAGGAGGAGGAGGAGTATGCAGGGGAGGAGGAGGAGGAGGAGGAGGAGCAGGAGGAGGAGGAGGACGAGGAGGAGGGGGAGATGTTCCCTCGCCCCCCCGCCCCTCCTCCTCCTCCTCCTCCTCCTCCTCAGAGGGGGCGGGCCTCCTCGGATGGCTCGGAAGAGTCCCCGGCCTTCTGACGCATTCTCTAAGCCTTCACCGAAGAGCACGGAAACCGCGCCGCCTTCTCAGAAGGCCTCCTCCTCCTCACTTCCCCCCCTCGCTCGCCGCCGATCACCGCTCGGAGTGGTCACCACAGCCTGGGGGGCACCGACTAGGTCCGGCGTTGCCCCGGAGCCCTGGCAGCCCTGGGCCAGGCCCGGTGCGGGTGTGTAAGTTTAGGTCGGGCATGTCCCCATACAGGGGAATTTTGGAGGAAAAAAAGATTCCCCAAATGCACAAAAAATATTCGAAAATAGTAAAAAAACAGTCCCCAGACGATTTTTACCTGACAGCGAAGACTGATAGGTTTCTAGTGGTGTCAAAAGAGAGCATCTGATGACTCAGAAGGGAGGTCTGGGCGGCATCCGGACAGCGAGGGCCGGGCTCAGGGCCGGGCTTGTTTTAAGCAAACAGTCACACACTTCGTGCTCTTCGACCTCCCAGAACTCCATTCCCGGGCCACATTTTGAATGCCCGAAGCCAACTGTAGGCCACTTCGTGCTCTTCGACTTCCCAGAACTCCATTCCCGGGCCACATTTTGGATGCCCGGAGCCAACTGTAGGCCACTTCGTGCTCTTCGACTTCCCAGAACTCCATTCCCGGGCCACATTTTGGATGCCCGGAGCCAACTGTAGGCCACTTCGTGCTCTTCGACTTCCCAGAACTCCATTCCCGGGCCACATTTTGGATGCCCGGAGCCAACTGTAGGTCACTTCGTGATCTTCGTGTTTCCAGAACACCAGTCCTGTGCCATATTTCGAGTGCCCGAGCTGAGGCAATCTGAGGCCGAGGCAGGCTGAGGCCGAGGCAAGCTGAGGCTGAGGCTGAGGCACGCCGAGGCAGGCTGAGGCTGAGGCTGAGGCAGGCTGAGGCTGAGGCAGGCTGGGGCTGAGGCTGACGCAAGCTGAGGCCGAGGCAGGCTGAGGCTGAGGCTGAGGCAGGCTGAGGCTGAGGCTGAGGCAGGCTGAGGCTGAGGCCGGCTGAGGCTGAGGCTGAGGCCGAGGCAGGCTGAGGCTGAGGCCGAGGCAAGCCGAGGCAGGCTGAGGCTGAGGCTGAGGCTGATGCTGAGGCAGGCTGAGGCTGAGGCTGAGGCTGAGGCTGAGGCAGGCTGAGGCGGAGGCAGGCTGAGGCTGAGGCCGAGGCAGGTTCAGGCCGAGACAGGCTGAGGCTGAGGCTGAGGCTGAGGATGAGGCCGAGGCAGGCCGAAGCTGAGACAAGGTGAAGCTGAATGGGGGGGGGAAGGGGAGGGGGAGGGAGGCTGAGGCCGAGGCTGAGGCAGGCTGAGGCTGAGGCTGAGGCTGAGGCTGAGGCTGAGGCTGAGGCTGAGGCTGAGGCTGAGGCTGCAGGCTGAGGCTGAGGCTGAGGCCGAGGCAGGCTCAGGCCGAGACAGGCTGAGGCTGAGCTGAGGCTGAGGCTGAGGATGAGGCCGAGGCAGGCCGAAGCTGAGACAAGGTGAAGCTGAATGGGGGGGGGAAGGGGAGGGGGAGGGGAGGCTGAGGCAGGCTGAGGCCGAGGCAGGCTGAGGCCGAGGCAGGCTGAGGCTGAGGCGGAGGCACGCCGAGGCAGGCTGAGGCTGAGGCAGGCTGAGGCTGAGGCTGACGCAGGCTGAGGCCGAGACAGGCTGAGGCTGAGGCTGAGGCAGGCTGAGGCTGAGGCCGAGGCAGGCTGAGGCTGAGGCCGAGGCAAGCCGAGGCAGGCTGAGGCTGAAGCTGAAACTGAGGCAGGCGGAGGCATCCGTAGGAATCCGTAGGAATCCACAGGAATCCTTAGGAATCCTCAGGAATCCGCCGGCATCCTTAGGAATCCGTAGGCATAGTTAAACATCCTCAGGAATCCTTAGGAATCCTTAGGATTCTATTGGATCCTAAAGCCGTTGCCGCTGCGACTGTCATTGCGAATGCGACTGCGACTGCGAGAACAGCAGAATTCTACAACTGGATTCTCACCTGAATCTAAAGGGGGATGCTTCCAGATATGCTTATACACATCGCTGTTAGGTTGCTTTGCTGGGATAATTTGACAATTTGTCAATATTCCCCCTGTAGAGGGATGAGCCCGACTTTAGTGTAGCTAGCTCCCTCGCAACCTCGGCGCCTCAGACTGCCGTCTCCAGCAGCCGGTCCCCGCCCACCGCGGGGCGGCCCCCAAGCACCACCAGACGTGAGCGCACTTTCCTCGTGACGTGCGGGAACCAGAAGAGCTGCATGGCGGCCCCGGCAGAGACGGCCAGGAGCATCACCCACTGCTGCCAGGCTGGCATGTGCGCCGACATCTGCACGCCCCCGAAGTGCGCAATCCACAGGACTACGGTGGCGTACGTGTTCAGGCCGATTCTGAAGACGAGGAACGTGACGAAGAATATCACGCCTGCCGCATCGACCCTGGTCTTGTAGGCGTCCCCTCGTCGACAGACTCGTCTCGACATGCTCAAAGGCGGACCCCATCACCATCCTCTATGAGAGGATCTTGGTGAGGAGGTCAGCACCGTTAGGCGCCAAGACGAGTCCAGCAGCCTCTGTGCTGGTTGTGGACAAGGTAATTCAGAAACGGAGTCGACACCTCCATACTGATCAGTGCGGACGCGTTGAACGGCAACATGCAGTGTCCGCGGATCACCGCGCCGGCGAAAATGAAGGCGACGTGATGTACCCCCATGTCCCACCCAATTAGGCCGTGCATTGGCGACACCACGCAATCTGCGAGGGTAAAAGTCGTGAACATCAACCCGGCAAGGGCTATGGCCTCCCCCACCGTGTTCCACTGGGCGATCTCCTCCGGCGCCTTGCAGGTTGCCAGGTGCACGGAGTAGCTGAACCTCACCACCTCTGCATCCGCCGCGAACATGAGCTCCACCATAGCGGGGACCTCCGGGACGCCCCGCCGATCCAGCCTGATCCACAGTCCAGTCCTGATCTTGTCCCAGCCAGCCCGGCCTCTCCATGGCGCGAAGCCCTGCCGATCGAGAACCCGATCGACAGCGCTCATTATGTGATGCTGCCTCATGGGCTCCGGTACACGGGCGGGGTGAGTGAGGATGAGGGAGGGGAGGAAGGAGGGAGGGCGAAGGAGAGGAGTGGGAGGGAAGGAAGGAGGAAGGTTAGGAAAAGGGGGGGTGCAGGAGGAAGAGGACGAGCCACTCCCCCCGCTCGTCCGGACCTCTGGAGCGGAACAACGTCATCTCGACCGTCGGCACGTCCGCTGGATGAGTGGCCGGATTCCCGGTCTAGCCACGATCGACGGATCGGGGTCCTCTGAGGCGTGGGCGCTGAGCACCGAGACGAGGACGGCGTGGATGGCGCCGAGGAGGTTCCGCGCGGCCCAGTACTTGCTATTCTCATGCTCCTTCGAGCTGGCAGGCACCCCGCGGGACCATCTGGGGTAGGTGGCGCTCAAAATGTAGAACAAGAGGATCCAGAGGGCGGTCCACGCGAGCCCTTCCCGGGCCAGGGGAAGGAGGACGACGAAGGGGAGCACATCAAAACTAACCAATGGCGCCCGCTGCTGGAACCTGTCCCTCCCCCTGGTGCTGTACAACTTCCCGGCCGAACTGGCTGGCAGACCAGCCCGACTGAGCACCGCTGTGATTCTGAGAGCCAGGATGTTTACAGTCGCAACGGCGCCTAGTGAGCGCCACATCTCTGCACGCGCCACGATGACTATGACCACTACAACCCCTGTAGCCAGTCATCGTATTTTGCATGAGAAGTGTTCTATGAACGACGCGAATGCCCGTGATCACCACAATGTTTATAAGCAGCGCTGTCCTCTGTTTACCCAACCTCCTCATAATCGGGGATCGAAACCTTCCACCTCGTCCTATTGTTCCTCCTTTTCTTCATCCTCCTCCGTGACCCTCCACCGTAGTCCCCCTCTGGAGCAGGCCACCTTGGCCTTGAGGGGGGAGCACTGGGAGGAGGACGAAGAGCAAAGAAAGAGGGAGAATGGCGAGGGATCGTCGTCCTCTCCCTCCTCCGTCCCCACCCTCAAGGAAGGGGCCTTCCGCCAGCAACGCGGCCGCCCCATCTGTCGCAGGGGGCGCCATCGCAGCGAGCGCCCCGCTGGGGCGCGCCAGGGGCCACGTGGCCGAGGGTCTGGTCGCAGCGGGGACGGGCGACGGCAAGGCGGGAGGGAGGGATGACATCTCCCCTAGTGGGGAAGGCGCCTCTTCCTCCTCCTCCTCCTCCTCCTCCTCCTCCTCCTCCTCCTCCTCCCTTCGTGCTGCTGCTGCTGCTGCTCCTCCCCATTCCTCCTCCTAAAGGGGAGCGAGGACGATGGGGGCGGGGGGAGGGGGGCAGGAGAGGGAGGGACAGGAAGACGGGGAGGAGGGGAGGAGCTGCGGAGAAGGCCGTCGCTGGGGCCACGAGCCGAGTGAGGGAGGGAACTGCCGGCTAATACCGCCACGCGGAGGGCGGGGGGGCAGGGATGGAGAGAGGGAGGGGGGAGGAGGCAGGAGGGAGGCGCGCTGAGGGCAGTGCGCTCACTGCCCGAAGCGGGGCCCGGCATGGCTCCCACCTCTCTGCGGTCGCCCACGAGGCTGTGGATGCAGTCGAGGGTGGGGCGCGGGAGGGTGACGCTGGGACTCTGGACGGGGGGGGGAGAGGAGAGAATGGCACACATGGCCTTGACCAAGACAGTCGTGCTGTCCTGCTGCCCCCGCCGACTTCCCGAGCTTGGCCCACCTTCGTGCCCCGGGCCCGCGACGCGGGGGAATACAGGCAGGCCGGGCGCGGCTTCTCCTCCGACTCCTCCTCGCAAGTTTTTCCTCCTCTTCTGGCCTTCAAGCCCCCCGCCCCCCTCTCCCTTTCCCCTCCCCCCCTACTCGTCGTCACGGCTGGACGCAGCTTGGAAGCCAGGATGCGTCTCGGATGTGGTCCTGGCTCCAGGTTCCGAGCAGATTGTGGTCGGGGGTCGGGCGGGGGTGCAGGCGGCTTCTTGAAAGGGGTTGGCTCCCTCGTGGAAGCTTGTAGCCGTCAGCTTGCTCCCCCACGCTCGCATCCCAGGACCTCTCTCGGAGCGCCCCACGGCCAAGTCCTGGAGCTGCGTCCAGCCGTGGCCACCGGGGCGCCCCCAGAGCAGGCCACCCACACGCCGACGAGTCCTGCCCCTCATCCCCGGGCCGCGCAGAAGACGCCGAAGAGCGCCTTCTGCACGCCGCCGGGCGGATGCACTCTGCGCCCTCCCGCCTCCCTGGGGGGCGGGAGCCTCACTCGACGGGGGGCCGAGCACACTCCCTCGGCGGGCGTCGGCTCAGGGACAGCCCCGCGCCGGCCCCGAGTACCCGGACGACGACGACGACGACGACGACGAGGGCACGAGCTCACAGGGTGGAGGGACAACGACGAGGCGGCAGGGGAGACGGCACCCGAGCGACGAAACCATCAGCGCCAGGAATGGAGTCGTGGCAACTCGAATTTCGCGAAGTGCGTGACTGTCGTACGCGCGCGAGGTGGCATGGCGGCCTTGCGCGGTGGCTTACGCGGGCCGCCAGCGCGGCACGCTTCATTGGAGACGAGGGCGCTTACGCGCGACCTTACGCAGGGAGTCGGGCGTTGCTTAATGGGGGGGCGATAAATGGGGGGGGGGAGGCACGTGTACATTTCGTGCCACTTTTGAGCCCCCAGGGGGACTCTTTACCTCCCCTTGAGGGCACAAGAGGTGCACCTTTCTTCCCCCCCTCCAGTCTTCGACGCTCTTTCTGGGGACCTTCCTGGAGCCACTCGCTCCACTTGTGCGTCGAGACTGCGTCGAACGTCCGTCGACTCGAGTCGAACTTGAATCGAACCCGAGTCCAACCTGAGTCGAACCTGAGTCGAAGCAGAGTCGACCTGAGAGCCGAATAGATCCGTCAGGTGGGCCCCAGCCAGTTCCCCCAGAGGAGCATCCAACCAGTAATCGCCCCCCCATTGCGCAACGCCCGAGGGAGAGGACGCCTGGGGCTGCCTGGGCGGCGCAGCGCGCTGGGCTCGTCAGCGGCGCTGGGCGGCTGGACGCGGTCGACGCGGCTCCCTGGGAGGCGCGACCGGGATCGGCGCCGGGCGGCTGGGCGAGGCGCCACGGGCACCCCGGACCAGAGGAAGCCTTCGGCCTGGCCCGTCTCTCCACGTCTCCGAAGAGGCAGAAGAGCTGGAGGTAGAGGATAAGCTGGAGGAGGAGGAGGAGGAGGAGGAGCAGGAGGAGGAGGAGGAGGAGGAGGAGGAGGAGGAGGAGGAGGAGGACAACAACAGCAGCAATACCACCACCACCACCACCACCACCACCACCAGGACCACCACCAGGACCACCAGGACCACCAGGACCACCAGGACCACCAGGACCACCAGGACCACCAGGACCACCAGGACCACCAGGACCACCAGGACCACCAGGACCACCAGGACCACCAGGACCACCAGGACCACCAGGACCACCAGGACCACCACCACCATCACCACCACCACCACCACCAAAAACAACAACAACGACATCTACGAAGAAGAAGGACCGAAGGAGGGGTCGTCCACCTTCTTCCTCCCGGCCTTCCTCCTCCTCCTCCTCTTCAGTCTCGCTGGCCTAGGAATTTCTTGGCCGGTCGGCAGCGGACTTCAGAGAGAGCATTGCTGTCGCGAGCCACCAGCCCATCACAGGCGCAGCTTTCTCTCATCAGAGCTCGCAATGGCCTCTGGCCTCTGTTGCGCCTCCGGGGAACAAGGCAGCAACGTGGACATGCGGCTCATGCGGATGTGGGAGGAACCTCGATCCGTGGTGGTTCTGAAAGCACTGTGGAGAGGCTTGGCAATACCAGTCTTCTTCCGCGTTCAGGAACGAGCTGCAGACGGCGATCAAGTGGAGTGATGAGATTGGCGACGAAACTGCTGCTGCTCTTCTCCACGCTGGTCCTGTATGGGGAGGCTGGAAATCGTGGCCAGCTCTCCTCACCAAGTCGATTGCTATTGCCACATGCAGCCTCTCAGCCTCAGAGTTGGACAGCCTGTGCGTATTGGCCGAGAAGCAGGGCCAGCTCACGCTGTGACGTTACTCAGAAAGTAAGAGCGTGAGAAAGATGCTCAGCTGGCGCGTGAGAAGCCGAGGTTGGTCCGCCTACTTCCTTGCACACCAGTGCGAGCCAGGCCCAGTCCAAACTCAAGCAGTGTGAGTAGCGCCTTGAAACAGCAGGGCAAGCCAGACAGATGGAGGTCGGAGGCGGAGGCGCTCGAGGTATCCATCAAAACGCTGGCGGACGAGCTGCAAGTATTCGAGAACTCAAACTAGGAGCTCGCATCTCCGATCCAGGCTGAGGTTGCTCCAGATTATGCGGAAGGCAAGCCGACGACGACCAAACTGTCTCTGCGGACCCTGGAAGGGTCGTCGGAGACCATCGACATCACGGTTGACCTGCTCGAGGGGGCCTGCCAGACGACTTCGAGATCACGCCTGAGGACCAATAACAGTTGGCCGAGCGCAAGAACATGTTGGCCATAGGTCGGGCATGTCCTCCTACAGGCGGATTTTGGACGAAAAAATTGAAACATGTCAAAACATACGCAACAAGTGCTCACAAGTACTCCCAAAATCGTCCCCAGATTAGTTTCGCGACAATTTTCGAAGATTCCTCCTGTAGAGGGACACGCCCGACATGATGTTGGCCTTTCAGTTCCGTCAGGCCGCCGAACAAGTAATTACTGGGCGGCGCGAGCGATGCCCTCGCGCGGGCCAGGCGCGAACACAAAGACCCGCGTGAGCCGCCTCGGCACGACGACGCGCCACGCCGGCGACTGTGGAGCAGCTGCTGTGCCAGGGAGGGGCGCCGATGGAGCTGGGGGCGGTCTTCGGGGCGAGGCGTGGACGCCATCCACTGGAGCCCGGGGTGGGGCCCTAGCCGCGTCCCAAAGGTGCGGGCGGTGCGGCGTCATCCCAACCTTCGGCTGGTGCCGCGCAAGCCCCTGCCCTTGGGAGCCGACCCCGAGTTTCGGGGGCGCCGGGAACGCGCGTGGGGCAGAGCCGAAGGCAATATTGCGCCCCCCCCCGCCAGCCTCTGCGCGATCTGTTCAGGCCCAGGCCGGCGGGGGAAATCGATATAATTGAAGGGGCCCTGGGACGCACAAATAAATACACACAAATAAAAATGATCCCCATATTTTCTCATATTTTCTGGGTTTTTGTCTTCCCCCCACTTCCCATATTTTCCCATATTTTCTGGGGAATCGACGATTAATTGTGTCTGTGTGTTTTTTCCCCTCCTGAATAATATCTTGATCAGGAACGGACGCCTTTGCCCGTGAGCTCCCAGGATAAGCCCCGAGTTTGGGAGGCGCGACGCCGCGGTGCCCGGGAAAGCCTCCAGGCTCGAATTCGAATGGGAAGCCTTTTCAGATGAGGATCCTGAAGCCAGCAGTCCACGCCCATACCTCAGGCTGGCCGACGACCCCCTGGAGCTCGTGATCACGACGGCTAACAATAATCGCTGGGGCACCTTGCGTGACTGGTTGCCCGCAACTTCGTCTTCCTGTGGCCCAAACGCTGGCACTTGTGCGAAAACCCAACATTCCGAGCCTTCCGTGCATTCTACTCCAAACGCTCCTAACTTTCCTTCCCATGCCGTTTTCCTCCGATGGCCAGCGCGAGCGCGCGGGCGTCAGGGGCGCCAGCTGGAGCAGTTCTTTCGCGCGACGTGCGCCGACGCCTGTTCAGCCCGCTCCGCGAGATGGACGGGCTGGAGGACTTCGACGGTGCTTCCCCGCCCTGCCCAGATGTGCATAAGATTTCTCTGCCAATGGCCCTGTGTCAGGCGCTGTGGACTGACGCCGCGCCGCGCGCGCCACCTTC